AATGTGCCTATAATTTCACCAGCACCACCACCCTACAAAATGGAACACTGCACTATGGGAAACAGTAGAACGACGGCGTATCAAAAATGGTTTTGACCAATGTCTTAATTGAGATACACATTTCATTTTGTTTGATAGGTATCATACTTTGTTATATGGAAGGTTTTTTATGTTAGATAGGTATGTTAATTTAATAAAAATACATCCAATATCTCCTTTCCCAATATCATATCGTTGTGGTGTATATGAAATGGAACTTTCGACGTCGCAATTCTTATTAATCTTGTTAGATAAGCTTTGTGCTATTATATGTAACTATTTTTCCGGATTTAAATCGGTTGTCAACCGTATCATATGTGTAACAATCGCGAAAACCTAAGAACTCGATATGTGCGATTATATATTTCTATAAAGCACATCATACGTAAATGTCAAAAATGGTTGATATTTTTCTTTGTCGTGTAATGTAATGGAAATAAATCATAATTAAAAATGGAGACATAAACTTATCTTTATCAAATTCATCTAAGGTGTCGCCTGTTAGCGAAGCGTCGATTTTTGTATTATTTCATAGCGTAGGTATTCATTCTCAAAATTTTATAAAAATCAGCTGCGGTTTTTTGCGGTTTCTAATGATATGAAAGAACTCATAACAAATGTCCTGCCGTAGAAAAATACCCTTATCAATGCAACGCGATAAGATAATATAGATGCGGTTGCATTTATCATATTATTTACACTACACCATTACTATATAATGCACTGACACATTAATTTCATAAATTTATTAATACAAGCAGTTGTTTGTTACTGAATTACTTTCAACTCCTTTTAAAACGAGTACTTTCAAATGTTTGAGACGAGAACTAATACTTTGCTGCTTGAAGGTGGAGGTATTTTTGCGCTTCTTACTAGATTCTAAAGAATTTTCGTAAGACATACACCTCCTCGTCCTCGTTTTCCAGTTGAAGTAGATGGAGTGGAATCGATGATCACAAAGTAACAAATAACTCTTGATCCAACTGTTAACCCTCAAAAAGGCTTCTTTCGTCATGCTTACCTCAATCGACTGTTAAACTGAGTCACTACAATCACTAAATATCAAACGTAAATTTTCCTCCGAAACTTCATAACAATCTCGTACAAACCGATTAATTTCTTCCACCTAGAGAAATTCGTGAGGTCCGCTGGTTCGTTCAGTGGCTTATTTTCATAGCGTTTGACACGGTTTGCTAGAAGATGTCGCATCAATTTTTGTAATTGTTCGGTCTTTGTTTTATTAATTATAACAAAACTAGTGGAGTAATTTCACAAAAAATAATTGAATATCATGGTGGTATGATCCTAGCATTCAATAAAATATTTAATTACGACATCGAGTATATAACTAGAAATAGAGACGAAATGTCATTTAATTTGTTTCCGTTGCGTGATTCAGTTTGTTTTGTAATTAGATGTTTTGGTGTTTTCACACACCACCGAATAGAACAGCACGGCATTGTTAGAGATATTATCTTTATTACAATAAAGACAGAATATTTTTTGGAATATACGGAGACGTACACACAGGTCAGTACTTGGCCTGTCTATGTTTCAGTGCAAACGAGAGTTGATATTTATAAGAGCTGTATCGCTAATGTGTTATCAGGAATATATGGCCCTTATTTCGTCTCTATTTCTGGTTATATACTGATGCCTACAATATATATTCCTATTTATGTATTTACATGTAACATCGCATATATGTATACGGTGTTATTTTTAAAATGCTAACAACCTCGATGGACTGTATTACTAACATCATAAACAATAACTGTTGTTCCATGACTTTTTACAAAACATAATAAATCCAAAAATAAACTTCAGTCATTGTTGTATATCATTTTTTTTTAAACGTGCAAGCGTCCTCCGCGACGACTCCACCTGTCACTCTTCCTGCACGTTATTACCGTTTAGAGCTACTACTATGTGAGTGCAAATGCCGATTACGCGAATGATGATAATGCGAAGACGGTTGCGCGAAAGCTTAAATGCGCGATAGTTCATTTGCGCGAATGGTTAGTTGCGCGAAAGTTTGAATGCGCGATAGTACATTTGCGCATGACGATAGCAGAACTCCCATGGCTGCAGGTTGTTGCAATTCTTTGCAATGCAAAGTTTTCGTAATAAACTATACGTTTATTTTTGTAAAAGTTTATTAGGGTGTACTAGCAACAATTAACTTGCCTTCCAGCTTTCGCAAACCTGTCTTCGTACTATAGTCATTCGCGCAAATGAACTATCGCGCATTTACTCTTTCGCGCAACTGACCATTCGCGCTTATGAACTATCGCGCATTTAAGCTTTCGCGCAACCGTCCTCGCACTGTCGTCATTCGCGTTATCGGCATTCGCAGTCACGTAGTACATCCTCTAAATCTATTTATATTTGTATGTAATCTAGTGAAATTTGTTGAATTATTATTACTATATTATATCATGGAACAAAAGTTGTTGTTTATGATGTCAGAAATATGCGAGTTTGTCAGTAGGTATTTAAAAAATGTATGTATGAACCATATTGATGGGTCACGGCAGCACCCGGCATCATCAGCCAGGAAATCCCGTTGAATAGTGAAGGTATGTCAGTCAGTAAGCAAACTAATAGATTCCAAATTGCACCGATTTGCTGCTCCATTCTGTGACACTGTAGGTGCATTACGTAACTGCTAGTTATAAGAGGACATGGAATTACCTTGTCTTCCATTCGTGACCCTCGACGTTCAACCGTCCAATTATGTGCTCAATCAACTGGATTCTCGGGAATTTTTCCGATTCCGCCTAGTGTGAAATTTTATTTATACTCTGTAGCTAATCGGTTGTGAATTTATGCTCTTTGTACAAAATTTGCGCTCTACCAATGTAAAATATCTTATACCGATACCTCCAATGAACACTACACCAACTTAATTTTCGGACATGTTCTGTTTTTATTTTGTTTTTTGTTTCTTTATCTTTTCACTAAATTTATTTTCATTTTAAATTTTGTTTTTGTTTCTTTATTTCTTTTTTTCGTAAAATTCGGAGAGCATTATACTAGTAAATAAATATGGTTGTTTACAAAAATAACAGAAATGACCAAAAAATATAATATAATAAATAATATAAAAATCTAAGTAGTTGCTCTCTAATCTGTGTTTTATTGAATTAAGTTGCATATGCAGCGTTATATTACTGTCATACGGCTTCCAATAATATAAATTAATACCCAGATAACAAGTGCGTGTTGTAGTTTATATGATAACGCGGCCGATTTAAAATGAAATAAAAATAAAATTAACAGATAAACGCAATCCATTTAAAAGGTTCATTACTGTTTTACCGATAAAAATCTAATTAACAAATGCCTATGACATTTTTGTAATAAAAAAAGAATTCCTTCCAATAAAGAATTCTCGCTCTCTCTAAACTTCTAACCTCGAAACTCGTTGGCACAAAACAAGCTAATAAAAAAGCTTAATATTTTATTACTCAATATGTGTTAGGATTGCAGACAATCCGTTCAATGTACAGTTAGAAATGTGCTACTTAAAAGCAAATAAAGATCAAAGAACAAAACTCCGGTCCATGATCAGCTAATTGAATACGTTATGTCCATCCGTCGTTTACGATAACCGCTGTGGTACTCGTGTTATTGAACAAAACGTTATCTTCCGATAATAATTTATGTCATTTGTTTCGCATTTTAGCTGTTCGGTATTTGCTCTTTATTTTCATTTACGAAAACTCATTCGCGACAGGTCTGTGCAAAATTATACACTCTTAGGTATGCACTCTACAAATTGTCGAAAACAGCGGACCGCCGAACTATAGTAATGGCCTACCATGGCTTTGTAAGATCTATCCTTAGGTGTGGTGTGATTTTCTGGGGTAACTCTACCTACGGAGAAATGTCATTTAGAGCCGAAAAGCAATGTGTCAGGGCTATTCCTTGACCTTGAACCTTTTCTCTGTGACATGAGATTCTTGACCTTGAGACATCTTTATTTGTAAAGACGAACTCGAGCGAACTTCCAGAGAAAGTAAGCTCACAAGCGCACCCACTTCGCATCAGGAAATATAATGGTCCAAAGAATTACTTGCAAATCGGCCTTATTCAAAAATAGCGTTGTCGATATGACACCTGAAATATTCAATAAAATCCCTGACACATTATTCTATTAAAATTTTTAATAGAATATTAAGATTTTTTATTGCGTCTGGGATATCTTAACATTATAATATAATATTCAAGCATGCAATAAACACAACTTTTGATTGACAAATGTTACTACAGCATAGAAGAATATTTATATGACGGTTCCACTTAGAGGATGGAAAAAAGCGGTTCCATATCTTAGACTTTTTAGACATTGTACTGTTATTATTTTTTGTTTGACATTGCATTTTTGTTATTTTATTGACTTCGTATGCCATTTTGGCTTATTGCAGAGCATCGAGTACATAACCAGAAATAGAGACGAAATAAGGGCCATATATTCCTGGTAACACATTAGCGATACAGCTCTTATAAATATCAACTCTCGTTTGTACTGATATATTTCAGCCAATATTACAGGCCAACTACTGACCTGTGTGTACGTCTCCGTATATTCCAAAAAATATTCTGTATTTATTGTAATAAAGATAATATCTCTAACAATGCCGTACTGTTCTATTCGGTGGTGTGGGAAAAACAGCAAAACATCTAATTACAAAACAAATTTCAAGTGTAATAATGCTTACCTATGAAATAAAGATTATTTTGAATTTGAAACCAAATCACATTTCATCGGTAATTAAATATTAAATATGTAATTTTGCAATTTTTGTCCATTATAGCAAAGCTCAAGTTAACTGGTCGATTTGAAGTGAAACAGTTGACGACACTCATTGACGACACCCGTCAATTATTTTGAACTCGGGCTAGCCAATCGGAGCGCAGTTATCAGTTATGATATGGCAGAATAGTTTTCAAACAAATTAAATGACATTTCGTCTCTATTTCTGGTTATATACTCGATGTTGCAGAGATTCGTTAAAATATTATTACCATATATACCATATACCATAGTAACAAATGAATAAATGAATTGAATTGAAAACTATATATATTAGACGATGTTATCATTGCTAAGTACTATTGAAATACTTCATCGCATATTTATTCTATCTGCATTGCCCTCATTATTACAAAGAAGTTTTTGAAAGTTTTGTATACATATAATATTACATGTAGGTATACTCAAAATTCATGCAGCATAGTTTTGATGATGTTAACAACTTTAGTGCTAATGATAGTTTTGCTTGTAAGGCGATAAAATTACAGAAATAATACGCATCATCATTCGTGTCCATTGTCATACATTATTATTAAGCGCTGGCCACATCGCGAACGAAGTTAGTTAGCTTAGTTCACGTAGTTGCATGCAAAGCTAAGAAAATACGTAGAAAGTAGTGACGTGCTACACTATGGATAGGTGCGGGGCTGAAGGGCGGCAGAATTGCAAATATTTTACATAGCTAGCGGGATCGTTGGGTTAGTTTAGTTAGCTCGATTAGTTTAGTTCGCGGTGTGAACCGAAGTATGAAGACCCCGGATACGTGAGCTAAGTTAGCTTAGCCTCGTTCACGGTGTGGCCAACGCATTAAGTTAATGACAGTTTATATATGGGTACATAAGCATGAAGACAAAGACGGTTATAAACGGTAGAAATTATTGTAATGTATTAGCGTTAAACTGGTAAAACCACTCTAACTTAACAACTGCATTGTTAGTAACTTACAAATAACTGCATCTAACAGAGTATAATAACTACGTAGTATATAAACTAAACTATTGCAATTCTCTGTAGGGTAATTACTACGCAATAGATAACTAGGACAACCAGAAACGAAACGCAAAAGGCCGAGAAGACGCTGGTCCTCGTCATATTGCAAAATTTAAAGAAATGAAATGGTTTCTTCTGCAAGTAGAATATGTTTTTTACTCTATTGATGCGTAATACAAGCGTCAGCTATAACAGTTTTTACCACTTAACAGCCCTTATATGAAAAAACAGAAGTCTACTTAATTGTTAACATTTAATATCATTAGATACATGCTTAAACAACTAAGTACATTTTTCACTTTCATTCATTGCTCGACATTCTATATTTATTAACCATGGAAGTCACAGGAAATATAAAAAGTATGTGCAAAGTAACATTTAAAATAATATTTTGAGCAAAAAACAATGTTTGGCATTTGAGAGAATTGGATAACTCTAAAGCTAGCTATAGATACGATACAATGTACAATCAAGCTTGATAACATATAAAGTCAAATAATCATACACAAATCACCAATTTAAAAATAGCTCTCGTATTTGACTACTTTTATACTTACGTACAATAAATATAAAGCTTTTTGATTTAGACATTTTTGCCTACTACTACCATCTAATTCTTATACTTATTATAAAACTATTATTAACGTATTTGAGATTGACATTATTGATGTGATTTAGAATATTACAGGGATTATTATCTAATTTGTTATTTTAATCTCTGTTGTACTTTTGTCTACTTTAGTATGCGATATCACAGTAATTGATAATAACCTCTTATGAACAAAAGTAGTTATTGATAAGACATTGTCTGTATATTGGCCATAATTTATAAAATCTTCCTACGAATTACATCATGCATATAATATAATGATGTATTCAAAACATAAGTCACCCGTACGTATTGATAATTAATTTCTATTAGCTTTCATCTACTTGCTTTTCAGTGAGATTTTTACCGTTTAATTCAACCATCTCATTTTGTTTAGCTTTTTCTTTATGTACTCTGTAAGCTTTTGGACCTATTAAGGATAAAACTACTGGTAAGAACGCTAGGCCATGGAAAAGACCGAATAATATTACCAAAAGGAATATTTTGAAAAAGGACTTGAATGTGTACACTTTGGACATGCTAAGAAGAGACAAAGCTAAGAGAGTTGAACCTCCACCCAAAAATACAGCTGCGCCTATAGATGACACTGTCTTTAATGCCCTCTCGGCACGTGTCCCTTCATAAGTAGTCAGAAAAGTATGACCGACGTGAGCTGCGTAATCTACGCACAAACCTATTGCTAACTCCAGACCAATACAACTGACAATATCCACAGTCATACCCCACCTTTGCATCCAGCCTAACACATTAACTATCGTCAACAAAACGCAAATGAATATCCATAAACACATTTGAAGATTAGTGATTAGAATAACAGTGCAAACCATCACGCACAACAGTGCCAATTCGATATTTCTTTCCACTTCCACTGCTATTATTTCATCGGTAACCCAATTACCGAACACCTTGGACCAAACGCTACGATAACCATCACCTGATGTTATGTTTGTTGATTTGACTACATCTCTTACATGATTCATTGCAGGAATGTATTCTTCTGGTCCCGCAAATCTTGAAAATCTAAACGACATAGAAGATGCAGTTATATTAGGTGTTTGTTGACCACAATTAAAACGCTCAGCGAATTTGAAATTTACTTGGTATCGCCCTCCTACGGGACTGTACAAAAATTTGGACAAATATTGTTTAAATTCAACGTCCGATACCAATGAAGATGAATTAGTTAAATCACGTTTGTAATTTGAAAGAATATATGCATGAAATGGTTCTACCCACGTTTCGAAATTTTTAACGTAGGACTCATTTTTTAGTTTTTGAGTCATGCTATGTAAATTTCTAAACTCAGCATTATAATTCATTTCACCCAGAAATACCATTGCTGCATGACCTTCATCAGGGTAAAAAAAATCGTGTTTGTCAAGAAACTGTTTGTAATAAGTACCATCTGGTATAAACCATTTCACATCAAACCTTTGTTCTAATTTTAATATAGCCTGAATACTAAACCCTGTCATGATTAGAGTAAATAATAGCACAATGGACTTTCCTGGGATTGTAAACACAACGTTCTTATAGAACAGTAATAACAGTTTTTGAAGTATAGTTTTTTCTTTAGCAGGATAAATCCTTTCTCTGTGTCTGTAACAAAATAATATTCCATTTCTATTTGTCTCCATTCTCTTAAGGTCCAACGTAAATACTGCTACGTAAAATGTAACAGTGAAACAAAAAATGAAAAATACTCCTATAGCAGCATATATGCAAAACGATTTTAAAGACGGAAGAATCGTAATAGCACCTATGAGCAAAGCAACGATATCAGTGAATGAAGTAATGACTATTGACACTCCAGCATGTTTCATCGTCAAGCCAACTTTTACTGGAAGACTTTTTTTAAGGTCAGATTCACACACTGTATTCCAACATGCATTTATTACAAACATATCGTCAATACCAAGCCCCATTAAGAGGAAAGGTAAAGCAGAATGGACAGGGCCAAAAGGTACGCCCAAAATGGAACACCAACTCAAAGATGTAACATACGCCATTGCCACACTCACCAAACCAACACCACTCGGTATAAGTTTTATTTCTAACCAGTTGAGACGTGAAAGTCCATAAACTATGTACAAAAACATTAAAACTATTCCCATAAAAAGTTTATCTACCTCTTGGAACATTGCTTGGCCGCTGACATCACCGAAACTTCTACCAGCCTCATAATACACTTTAAAAGTTGACGAGTTTTGTGATTCTGATTGCATTAGTTCTAAAAACTTTGCTTCCCATAGTGCAAGTGGCACTGTGACCCAATCTTCCGTGCCAACTACATTACCAACCTCATTTAGGTCTACTGCAGACATATTAACTTGTGTGTACCAACTTAATAACAAAGAATTAGCAGAAACTATATGTCCATTCTCATCTCTTTTTACTCCACCTAACAATTTCGTATAATCTGTAGGATGACCAGTAATAGGATTATTTTTGATAGTATTGATTTTTTTTATAATATCGTATTTTGTCGTATTTTTAATTAATGTTGGATCACTTTTCCATAGGTCCAAAATGTTGTATTGTAAACAAGCATACGAAAAAGTTTCTAAGAAACTACAATAAAATTCATCAGCAACCCACAATGTTGGATCTGAAAAATCACTAGCATTGTCATCACTTGAATAGAAGTTAACCACAGGAACATTATAACACAAGTCACTTATGGATATGTTTGTATTGTTGTAATTCACTTGAAGAGACTTCACTTTCTGCGTAATATTGTAAATGTTCATAAGGCTATCTGGCTCCAGCATATTTTCTGACACAAAAAGCACTTTCTGCACTCTGAATCCAGTTCCAAACTTGTCTATGTACCAGTACGTGTCTTCTACAAAGGAGGAATCTGGAGGAACCCACAACTTCATGGGATTCTTTTCTAAGTAGAATTTTAAGAAGCCGAAACTGCTCAGCAGCACGAATATCCAAGTTAGTATTATGGTTCGCCATGGATGTCTTGCCACGACCACTCCAATAGTGAAAAATATATTTTCAACAAAATTAACTAGTACAGAGGATACGCTCTCCCATAATTGTTGGGGCGTCTTATAATGTTGTATGTTGGGCATGGCTGAAATTATTTCAGCTAAAATTTTTACTTATCCCACATCTGACACGTGTGTTTATTTATTACGCTCTACGAAGTACTCAAATATTATTTACCGCAATAATATAACATTGTTATAACTCTGATCCGGCACAATGAGATTAGTCACGAAAAAGAGCCGTGAGACTAGTCACTGACCATTAACTGTCTCGTTTTAGCAAGTAGCCGAAGATAACTGCACTAAGCATGCAGTATCATCGCCGTCTTTGTACACAAAAGGAATTACGCGACTTGTACATTTAGTAAAGACAACTATCCCACGATAACTTTAAAATGCAACTGACAATTTTTCACAAATATGTTAACCAGTGTGACCAGATTTAAATTGACGATCTTGCTGGTTCTCGGCTAAAAATTAGTTAAATCTGCTAAATATTTTTGAAGAAATATGTTACAATTATTGTTATCTTGATGAATTAATTCATAACTTATATGGAAATACAAATGTATTAATAAACGAACACAAACTTTCTTGACATATTATATAATATGTTTATTTAATCCGTGTAATATGAATATTTTTATTCGGAGCTATTGTTATTATTGTATGTACGTCTTATATTATGTATATGTATTATATTATGTATGCACCTATTTCTACTTCTTTTACATGTTTTACGTGAATATTGCAGAAACATGTTAATTTTTAAATTAACTGAATTTCGATCATACATAGTCAATTTGGTTTGAATTGCAACGGAACAAGATCCGCCGATGTGTAGCTTAATGTGCTGCCGTCCGTAACTTGCCTGTATATTTCAACTTATTGTGTAATAAAATAATAAATTTGTTTATTGACGCATAGGTACTACATAATAATCCATATTCTGTTAGAAAACAAGAAATTCAAAGTTGAAGTTGTGATGATTTATCTCCAATGGATTTGTCAAAAAACTAGTTTTCAGTAAAGAGCTTATAAGCTGTAGGTATTTATGCATATTGACTGAATATTCTGGCACATGGCCTGTAACGAATTTCCAGGGTAATAAGAAAAATAAACATTAACTTAAAGTTGTAAGTTTGTTTACGTTTTTCGTGCAGGTATTGAAATTGAGTAAGTTTGTAAATGTCGAATCTTGATAAAGTTTTATTGGCCCTGCCAAAACTGACAATTTTTTGTTATCGGCGACAGTCTGCTCGCCTCACCCTGCTAAAATTGCAGAATCCTACAAAATTTGGTCACACTGAAATTGACATCGGCTTTTTTTAGATTTTTGTTCGTGACTTGCATCCCTTTACTGACAATGTTTTTAATTTTAGTCTTTAAAATTAGGAAACTTGAAGAAAAAAGGAAATTTGGAAAGTGAATTAGGAAATGGGATAAAAAAGAGCTTAGGCGAGGACATTTTAAAAACAATTAAATAAATTTGATCGAATGAAGTTAAAATATTTTATCAGTTCACTCTTATTTCCTTGGACGTTTAGTAACCAAACCAAAAAATTGAAATATTTAGAAGTTTACAACATTTACAAAAGCTTCTCTGTTTTACACTGAACATGAAACAGGCATCAAAACAAAGCTGGAAAGAAGTCAAGTTGTTCTACGTTTCCTTTTAAATGACTTAAATTCTTTAGATATTAGTTTTCGGTGTGCCAAGAACTCTAAAAAGTTGTATAATTTTATTGTATGTATGTACGTTTTGAACACTCTTTCATTTGGCAGCGACCAATTTTTTGGCATTTAATGTTCCATAATTACACCAGCGCTCTTTGTGTCAATATGTGTTAAGTATTATGTACGTGAAGTTGGTATTCTAAATCATTGTTTTGTATTTATTTAAAGCGTGATGCGTGATCTAATAAATACTTCACGAGGATGTGTAAATGAAATGTAAAATAGATATCTAAAATACAGTTGTGATACAATTAACTAATAATTTATTCGTTGTTGTCTCTAACCATGTGGACTACGAAAACTTTTTTTACCAAGACTAAACGCGGAAACATTTTGAAGGTGAGGTTATGTTTACAATCAAACTTATTGTAACCTATTCTATATTTCTAATTTGTGAACCTATTCTGTACATTTGGTGCGTTGATATTTATTTATTTAATGTATAGTCGAGGCAGATTTTAATAGGTTATGGTCTCAACAACTGTTTATTGGTAACTAAAGTCGGATGTTGCTTATTTTTTTTAATGCATTTTGCCATAGTTTTATGTCACTTTTATGTTGCAGTTATTATTTAATACAAGTTACCAAAATCATCAGTTCTCATATTGATGGAGCCATAAAAATAAAAAGTGAAGTGATACAAAATCTCCTCTGGTACTCTAATTGTTGAAAAAAGAATGTTGTATTTATCGTTAGAATAATCGTGATCAAAAATGGCATGACCTCCTAAGGCCCTACGTACAATAATATACGTATTATTGTATGTTGTGTATATACATATCAAGTGATTTAGATCCGGACTACATTATTCCTATGATCTCTCATTTAATTACGTTTTTTTATTGTGCGAAGTTCAAGAAGTTCTATTTTATTACGGGCTTATAGTATTTACACTTCCGTTTCTGTTAAAATTTACTTTTGATATCTGTTTCCGTTCCACACTAACAATTTTTTTCATTAGTACTAATTATCATGTTTCAGATTGTAAGGGAACATTATCTTCGTGATGATCTATTGTGTGGTTCATCAGCATGCAGTATATGCCCTCACAAAGATGATGAGTTTGTACTTGCTTCAAAACCGGAGTCAATATGTGCATTATTCGACTATCCACATTACCTAGTGCTGGACACCAATGTAATATTGCACCAAATAGATGTTTTAGAAGCAGATGCATTAACTAATGTAATAATATTACAAACTGTACTTGAAGAGGTCAAACATCAGAATACTGCTGT